TGAGTACATGTTGAGATATGGTCCACTGTACATGTTGAAAATATACATGTACCTATCATCATGATAAACAATAGGGAAATGTTCGGAAGTGATTTTACCTGATGGAATCGACCATGCTGAACAATACTAGATTGAAAGTTTTCCAAATTATCATGTGAATCTGGCAGTGATGATGATTTTAGTGAAAATATTAAATTTCACTAAAATATTACTATTATCAGATTTATTTCCGCAAATATTACTATTATAATGATGATAAATAACAATGATGATGGTTGGTAGTTGTTCCGATGATGATGTACCAACTTGAATTTTTCCAAATAATAAAATTATTTCCAAATCATGATGAAGGATTAAATTCCAGAAATTACTAGTAATACTATTATTTAAATGATGATGAGATGATGTGGTGAAATTCTTGGAGTTAATAGATGTGAAATCACTCCAAGAATCAACAGAGTCGTGATGTACCTGATGTTGATCCAATATTTTTGAAATATTTTTCCAAGTTCTTGTAGATTCCAAACAACTAAGAATCCGGACCGAATATTACCTAATAATTTTTTATACGGGTTTATTTCGTATAACAGTCTAAATTACTTCAATTTACTGAGCTATCCATTAAATATAACCACATCATTATTGATGTTTCTCCTTTCTTTTTGGAAGAAGGTTTGTTCGAAAGTAACTTTGATTTTGCGAACTAATTTATTCAACCCTTCATCCATAGCAACACGGTAGCTGATAAAGAGAAAGCTTGTCAAAAGAAGAGAACGTTGAAGTAAAGTATGCCATCACCCTAGTCACCAGCAAGATCCAAAAACCTAAAGATGAAAGAGAGGTTTTAAAAACCGTCCTCTCAAGGTGGCAACCCTAACAGCTACAACAATAGAGATTGAAACAGTTCAACAACTTTATTCTAGACCTAAGGAGGTCAATTTAGAAATAAAGGACAGCTCCTTCAAAAATTGCAACATTCAAAGATGCTAATTCTCTTAATCTTAAACAATCTGATTCGAACAACAATTTTGGGGTAAAAGAGAGATTCTAAAGGTATTTCATTGAAGGAATATTTATGTGATTGCTATCAATCAAACTGGGGAATCAATTAATGACGAGTTATCTTCAGATGAAATATTTGATTTGATATTGTCAACTTCTAATGAACAATATTCAGCTGACTCTGAATTCTATGGCTTTTCTTCTTCAAAGAGTGACCACTTCGTCCCATATCACTCATTCCATTCCAATAGCCACGAGCAAACACCAACCACCATGGATCCGGTTCTAACAACTCCAATTCCTCCGTATCAATCAATAAGTGGCAGACTCTCATTTCCATCAACGTTGGAAAGAATTCGGCGTATCAGAAATAATTGTAGATTGGATAAAAAACGGAATTCCAATCGATTCAGATTCCAGCCAATAGAAAAATTACTTCCAGAGGAAGTTCTCAGAAAGAGAAAATATGGATAAGGAGAGATAGAATCCATGTTACAAACCAAATTATAACTCATGTTCCAGTAAGGAAACAACACAATTGACAAATAACCTTCTTCCAAGTTTATTGGAAAGATAGAAATGGCGGATGAGTTTCAGCTTATGGTATTAAGAATTATATTGATTCCGTGGCTTCCCACGATTTATTTAAAGAGAGAGATTAAACATGCTTCAATTCAATCGTAGAACTGCTTTCTTGTGTTTGCATGTATGAGTGTGAATTTCTTGTATTGTTCTTATCTTTACCGAGTTTCTTTACTACAAACCAAATAATTACTGCAATTAGTAGGGCAGTTAGTGGAATGAGGACTAGTAACATTAATAACCACATTAATGGATTGCTAGTTGCAGGTTTTTTGACAATTATATTTGAATTTGATGAAGAGGAGGTTGATGCAGTTTCAATTGATTTGTATTCAAGAATTGAAAGATTATATCTTAATGAAGAGCATTCACAAGTTGCTATTTGATTATTCTTGATAGAAATGGAACAATCAGTTTCCAACGATGCTGATCCAATGTTAGCACAAACATAAGTTGCCTGACTGTCGTATTGTTTCATCTCAATGTCGAATAAGTATTTCGAATAAGATTGAGGTGAAGGATCAAGTTGTAAACTATTTACAACTGAATTGATAGATATCATCTTTCCAGGTTGCTTTAAAATTGCAATGGTGTCTGTATTTTTTTGAATATTCCATCTATACTTGATTGGTGACTTGATTGAATTGGTTTTCAAGAAAGATGAAATGTTCAATGGTAACGTGATATTTACCATCTCACTTTCGAATTTCATTCCATTCATTTCATTCTTGAAATGCTTGTTTAGAACTGTCAAATAACTGTTAGTTTCAAACTTAAATGGTGTTTGACCAATTAAAACATTTCTCAATAAAACTTGTCCTAATAATTCAAAAGTTTCCAATAATTTTTCATTTGAAACTAAAGCCATTAAATTTTCTTGCAAATTCATAATATTTTGCAAGTTGACCAAATCGCCTCTAGACAGAACAAAGGCAGTGCTTGATTGAACTGATGCCAAAGCATCTCTCAATAAAAATAAACTAGAGTTGGCCGTTTGGTTGGAATGATATTCAGAATTTTGTGAAATTGAATTCAATCCAAATAATAAATTTGTAATGTAATTTCTATTTGTTGATTCTGCAGCAGTTGTCATGATTTGACTGGAACCCATAAAATCATTCAATAAATCTCTAATTAAAGATTGAATAAATTCAAAATCTTCATTGGTCCATCTACAATTACTTGTCGTAAATCCAGAATTACAAACACATTTTCCATCTTTAAATTGTCCATTTCCATTACATAAATCTCTCTTTGAACTTATACTGTTAAATAATAAATTCATTGTTCTAGAAATGGTTGCAGTATTGAAAACACTTCGTTGATAATCACCAACAGGAGCCAATGTTGCTATTTGGTTCCATGAGGCTGTTAACTTTTTGATTTCTGCTAAACTTTTGACAACTGGAAGAGTGATGGTAACTTGTTTGATTGTTATGGAGCTAGATCCTGTCACTGGATCAATTACCTTGACATAAAGATCTAATTTGTTTCCAGAATTTGGCATTGGAAGTTTTTGATATAATTCTTCTGTTTTAGAAAGTGGAAAGTTGGATTTTGAAAAATCATCAATAAAACCATATTCGAAAGTATTACTATTCTGATCGTTTTGACATTTTGGACAATTGAAAGTAAATATTGTCGTCATTGCAACACCACTCAAAGGTGACACTTGACAGTCACATGGTTTTGGTGATTTTATCCACCTCTTTCTAGACAATTAAATTTAAAAATATCAAATGTTCTATTTATTATATAATAATTATCTACATAATTAGTTTTGACTGAATCGGTCTAGAAAAAAAGTTATGTTTAAAAAACTATTTCAACTTTAATATTTATTTTCTCTTTCATTTTTAAGAATTTTTAATTTTTGATACCCTAGAAAATTCTAATTTAAAATACTATATTTCATATATTTTTTAA